AAGGTTCGTGAACCCCGTTATGTTTCGTTTATGATTATTTTAAGTCCCCGAAAGGGTCCTTAGTCGTGTTTTGATGCGTTTAACTCCCTTTTTAGGGTTTTTACATTATTAACACATAGATTCTTTGAGACACTTGAATTTTTGACATAAAGATGCACATAGAATAACTTTTAACATACAAGTACTAGTTAAGTTGACTGGTTTGACTTGTTGACTTTGACTTTGACTTTGACTTGAATTGACGGTTGTCACACGTACCAACTACTGCCTCAACTATAATAGTAAAATTCTATAGTGGTTGTCATTACTACCTTTATTTGATGGATACTATGAACAAGAGCAGGTGTGTAAGTTCACCTTTGAAAGTTGGTTGCATCAAGGATCAGAATTCAAAACCATGAAATGGTAACGACCTTTCACCTAAAGTAGATTGCACATATTAGTAACAAAAAGAAAGCATGTTGTTATTTTCCGTATTTTGACACTTTATTTCTTGTTTTTTTAGGTGCTATTTGATATGTTTCAAAGGAATTCCAGACGAAGAGGTTGCAAAGTAGCAATATACTTTCATTTGTATGCGTATTATAACATTCAACTTTCATTTTTTTTCATACTTCATGTTTTCTTACCAACACATTGTACTATGAAACTCGAACCAATTATGACATTGTATTATCAATTTCTTCCGATTAAAGCTAAACAACCTAAAATGTACCTATTAGTCTATAAGTAAATTACCCTTCATGGGTTATGCTTAATATGACTCTTTTATAAGCAGTTGGTATATATGTTTCATAATTCAAAACGATGGTTTAATGCTTGTGATAATAAAGTAAAATATTTATTTGTATATTATAACTTCTTTCCAATCTTAGTTTACTGTATTAGAAATCTCAAAGACCATTTTCACAACAAAAGAAAGTTTGATATTGTACTTTTTATTTGCAAAATGATAAAAAATAATAATGTCTTAGAGAATTTCGTAGGTCCGACTTGCAAAATTCTCCACAAAATACTAAAATATCCGATTTTCAATAAAAAAAGAGAGATATCATGCTTTCTTTTGTAATGAAAAGGGATAATGACTTAAAATGCTAATATATTTTTCGAGTTGTACACATTTGGTCACTGAGTATTTTTTTCGTTCACATTTACCCCTTTAACTTGTTAAACTGTACACATTCAGTCCTTATGATTAGCTACTCCAAGTTAGCCGGAAAAAAGTGACTTAATAGGGTAATATATTTCTAAATTTGTATACATTTAGTTCTTAATATTTTTGTACACATTTAGTCCTTAATATTTTTTTGTTTCAAAATAAGTCATTTTTGTTTTTGTACTCATTCAATACTTATGAATGATTTCTTTAAGTTTTTCTAATGACATCTTACGTGGGACAATTATTAATGGGGTGTTTGGGGCTGTTGATGCTTCTGGCCATCGTGATCTCGACTGCTTGGTTGCGTAGGTTTTGTGGTGTAGCTTAGATCTTGTGTTCTAAACGTCGTAACTTCTTCATACGATATTGGATTTTAAAGATCTTTATATCCACGTGTTCGTTTTTTGAGTTTACTACAACTTTCATTAAGATTATTCCCGTTAAAATGTAATATATTTTACTTACGATTTTATAAAAAAAAACATCCATACATGCATTCATAAAAAACGTATGGATATAAAGATCGTAAGTAAAAATATATTACTTTTTACCGAGAGCAATCTAAATGAAAATTATAGTAGACTAAGATACGAACGCATGAATATAAAGATCGTTAAAATCCGAGATTCTATGAAGAAGTTATGACGTTCAGAACACATGACCTAAGCAACCAAGTAGTCGAGATCGCGATGAAGATAAACATCAAAAGCTCCAAACACCTCATTAATGATTGTCTCACGTAAGACGTCGTGAGAAAAACCTAAAGAAAATTATTCATAAATACTAAATGAGTATAAAAACAAAAATGACTTATTTTGCAACAAAAAAATATTAAGGACTAAATGTGTACAAAGTGATAAATATATTATCCTATTAAGTCATTTTTACCGGCTAACATGGAGTAGCCGATCATAAGGACTAAATGTATACAGTTTAACAAGTTGAAAGGTAAATGTAGACGGAAAAAAACTTAAAGACAAAATGTGTACAAATAAAAAAATATATTACCCTTTTAAGTCATTACCTATAATGAAAAAGATCACAAATAAAACTTAAAAAAACAATTTTTTTGTAAGCTTTTAGTATTGTGCAGAGAATTTTACATGTTAGACGTACAAAATTCTTTAAGATTTTTTTTTTTTGTTTTTTTGTTTTTGGCATTTTCTAAGTTAAAAACTACAATCCAAATTTTGTTTAGTTGTGAAAATGGTTTTAAAGATTTTCAACAGAAAAACTTCAATTTTTTTTTTATTTTTTTAAAACTTGTGATTGTAAAAAAAGTTAGATTTTTTTAAATGATGTAGTTTTGATGATGATATTACCACATCATTATTTCATAGATAACATATGAATTTTACAGATAACATCTGAAAAATTGATAACTAGTTTGATGATTAAACTAATTTTGATTATTTTTTAATAAAAAATAATAAGATTAGACATATTTGTTTTTTTATAATTTATATCTACAGACTACTTTTTATTATACTATTAGTTTTTATAATTTTTTTTTTGGAAATTAAGTTATAGTTAGGTGAAATTGTAATAAATGATTAGATCTTTTAAAATGTGCATTATTTAACTAGTCCCATCCTCCACCCCATATTTGACAATTTTACTGGGGTACAGACGTAATTTTCACTGAACACACGCATCTCTCCACCTATTTCTACGTTTCCCTCCCCATGCTCCTCTAGACTCCTACGATCTCTCCTCGCCGGCGACTACCAGAGAGAGGTGGACGACCATCATCAAACGCTGTCGTATAAACAATTCTATACCCATGGACGCAAATTCAGCAGAATTTGAAGCGATTTTGAAGGAAATAGAGCGTGCTAATAGCAGTAGCACAAGCTACACCAAAAACGACGATCAAGAATGGAAAACAGTATCGTATAAGAAATCAAGACGTAAACCCACTAATAAAGCTCCTGAAAATTACCCCGATCACGGCTCCGGAAACGGTAACATTTTCCGGTCGATCGAACAACAATCGGAGGATCGTCGACGAAGAGTAGTTGAATCTCAAAAGGCTGCCGCCGCTGCCATTGATGCAGCAGCTGATGATGCTCCTCTCCGCGCCGGTGATGATGGCGACGAAGACGGCAGTGATGTGGATAACTTGGCCGGACCGGAGAGCGGGAAGGGGGAGGTGAAGAAGAGTAAACCTAAGAAATTGAAAAAACGTAAAGTTACTGTTGCGGAGGCTGCATCGAAGATTAATGATTCTGATCTGGCCGTTTTTCTTGTTGATATAACGGTAATTAAACATCCAATTTTGATCTGCTAGAACTAATGTATTTTCAATCGAATTGATTGGACCTCGAAAAAAGAAATTGAAATCTGATTTGCTGTTTTTGCAATAGGAATCGTATGAATCACAACCAGACATACGGCTAATGAGGTTCGCCGACTATTTTGGTCGAGCATTTGCTTCCGTGAACGCGTCTCAGTTCCCATGGATGAAAACTCTCAAGGAGGCTTCCGTCGAGAAGATGATTGATGTAAGAGCATCCTCTTCCTTTTTATCACTTTTAAATTTCACTTTTTAAGCTTATGACAGCCTACCTACTTTTGATGATCTAGAAGATTCTCCAAAGATTCATCATCATACATTTGGATTTTTGTTTCTCTGTATCCCAAGCTTTACTTTCCAGAGGAATATGCTACTGATGAGTACAAAACTCCTTTTTAGACTGATTTAGTTGACTTTATGCAGATCCCTTTATCACATATTTCTGAAGATGTTTATAGGACATCAGCAGACTGGCTTAACCACCAACCTGTAGATGCTCTTGGGTCCTTCGTTGTGTGGTCCTTAGATAACATACTTGCAGACCTGGCTCTCCATCAAGGGGGTATCAAGGGTTCAAAGAAGGCGGTTCACCAAGAACCTTCAAAATCTCAGGTAAATGGTCTATGAACAATGGTATAAACCATGATATGTTTAACAATGATGATGTATAGATGTTCTCAAACAAGAAATTTGTTTTATTCAAAAACTGAGCTTTTTCTTGAAACATTGACTGATGTTTCATATTGATCAAGGATTATGCAATTATCATGACAGGTTGCCATATTTGTGGTTCTAGCAATGGTACTAAGGCGTAAGCCTGATGTTTTAATCGGCCTTCTTCCAATAATAAAAGAGAGTTCTAAATATCAAGGGCAAGATAAGCTTCCAGTCCTATTGTGGACTATCACACAGGTAACTATTCAACTAATCAAGACATTTACTATCTTCTAGAAGATAACAATAAACATCAATAAGATTGGATTTTGTATAGGCTTGTCAAGGGGACCTGGTTGTGGGGCTTTTCATGTGGGTGCATTTGCTCTTGCCATTAGTCAACAGTAAATCAGGTGGTAATCCTCAATCCAGAGACCTTATTTTGCAGTTGGTTGAGAGGTAAGAAACATCTATATTATTGTACTTTCATTTTTTTCTTTTACAATGTTGTACTTTAGTAATTTTTCTTATCAAGGCATGTACTTTGAAAAATATATCCAATAAACTCTGACCTCATTTCTAATTTGGTCACCAGATTTAAAATTTTTTACTAGTTTTCGAAAAAGCATTAACTTTTCACTCATTTATACTTTACTTCCATTTAAGTGTGCTTTTATTTTCTCAGATATTTTATAAAACATCATTTATACAAAGTACAAACAACAATTTTATTTGTAGGATTGTATCTTCTCCAAAAGCTGGTACAATTTTAGTCAATGGTGCTGTAAGAAAGGGGGAGCGTGTGGTCCCACCTTCAGCTCTTGAGCTTCTTATGAGAGCTACCTTCCCTTCTCCTTCATCTCGTGTCAAGGTACTTTCAGTTATTTTATAGCATCCTACTTTCATTTCATTTTGTTACAGCATTGTATTTTCAGTTGTTTTTTCTTATCAAGACATTATAGTTACAATTCTTTTTCTTATTTGGACTTTATACTTTGAAAAATTTATCCAGTTATAATGCATCACATTGCTATATATGTTGCTATTTCTTGCATATAACCCTTTTATGATGATAAATTTCAAATTTCTTTTTACATAAATGAGTAGAATTTAAAGTAACGAAAATGGATTTGGTATAATTTTGTAACAGGCAACTGAGAGATTTGAAGCAGTCTATCCCCTTTTGAAGGAGGTTGCTCTTGCTGTTGCCCCTGGAAGTAAAGCTATGAAGCAACTTACACACCAGTTGTTACCTATTGCTGCAAAAGCTGCTGCTCAAGGCAAGAAAACTTTTTATTTTATTTTTTTTTTATTGCTAATTGGTCAAACCCGTAAAAAATTAAAAATTTAGCTCAAAAGAAAACGAGCTAAAAAGTCTCTCAAAGCACATTTACGTCTTTATAATGTCCTAGATCTCCTTACTCAAAAAGTCGAATCATTATTTTAATGATAGTGTTATACTAATTGTTTATGAATTTCAATGTAAATAAAAAACAAAAAAGTCTAATATTTAACGTCTGTTTACAGGCAACTCTGCTATGGCAAGTGAAGCTGGCGACATATTCCTATGGTGTTTGACTCAAAACCCAGACTGTTATAAACAATGGGTAAAACTATAATATTGAATGCGCCTTTTGATATTTTTCATCACAACTACATGAAACTACATTGATATTTCTGTGGGTCTCACTTAAAAAAATTGAAAACAGGATGACATTTATCTCGATAGCCTTCAAGCTAGTATTGTTGTTCTAAGAAAGCTGTCTGATGAGTGGAAGATTTACTCGGTTAAACATTCGAATCTTGAACCTTTAAAAGCAACCTTGAAGAGTTTTAGAGATAAGGTAAATCCCTCTTGTCTATATAAGTTATTAGCTTTAGGCCATGTTTCTCTTTAATAATATATTTTAGAAAAACAACGCAAATTTTTGCTAATGTCTTGTCTCATCACAGGATTGGACATGACAAAATTTCTAGGGTTATTTTCAATTATAGAGGACGAGGAGGGCATTTTTGTCTTTTTACACAAACAACAGATCGAGAGCGAGTCATGTCCTACCTTGTTCCACCTTTTTGGATGGGATAAAAAATTGCAATTTTTGTCTTATTGACACCTGTCTTAGTCTCATTCCAACGAATGTCAAACACAGTAGTCAAATGGGGCCTTAAGGCCCCATGTGTTACTTAGGTTGTACTTTGTTTGGCATTCATTGAATAGGGACTAAGATATGAGTGTTAATAAGACAAAAATTATAATATTTTGATCCATCCAAAAAGGTGGAATAAGGTAAGACATGGACTCGATCTCGATCTGTTGTTTGTGCAAAAAGACAAAAATGCCCTTCTCATCCTTTATCATTGAAAATAGCCCTAGAAATTTTGTCATGTACAATCCGGTGATGAGACAAGTGTTAGCAAAAATGTGTGTCGTTTTCTAAAATATTTTGTGTAACAAATATGAAAACTAAAAGAGTAAACTACACGAATAGTCCCTATGGTTTAGGGTAATTTGCACTTTTGGTCCCTAACTTATTTTTTTAACTCGGAAGATCCCTACTGTTTGTTTTTGTTACGCGATTGGTCCCTGTCTTACTTAAAAAGACTCTTTTTCCCTTGATTTGTTAATTTCTTTAAATAAACACAACCCCAACCCCACCCCCTCATCTTACGTTACCTACCCCACTATTTTTCTCTATTTAAATAATAGTCTTTTTAGATAAGGTAGGGACCAAACGCG